ATGTGGGACATACTAGTTTAAATACAACTGCAGTCATTAACTTAAACTTTCAAAATTCAACACATTATTTAAAAAAAATAAAAAATAAAGGAAATAAAAATGAAAATAAAATAATAAAATTAAATCAAAAGTGATGTAGAAAGGTCCAAATGACACTACTACTACAACAACTACTACTAACAAATTAAAATGTAATATTAAAATTTAAAATTGATATTAAATAAATTATTTACTAATAAAATAAATAACAAATTTAAAACTTCTAAACACATTATTAACAATTTAAAATTTTATATTAAATGGGCTAAAAGATAAAATAAATAAAAAATATACATATTCAAAATTAAACACATTATTTAAAAGCAAAATAATATTTTAAATAAATACAATTAAATAAAACAGTGATGCAGAGAGGTTCAGTTGATGGAACAACCAGGGTGTCACAATTTTAACAATTAGCAAACATTAACTCCAAAACCAGAGAGATTATTTTAAAATAAAATAAAATAAATAATAAAAATATTAAATAATGAAAATGCATTAAAAAAGATTAAATTAATAGTGAAAGCAGAAAATTTGATAATAGGCCTAATTTTACCCCAAGACTGCGGCGACGGGGTGGGGATGTAGTTATGGCGAGGATGTTAGTTGAGTCCACAGGTGACTGGTAATCACACGGGCTGGCCAGGTCTGGTGAACTGGCACATAAAGCCTCATTAAGCTGGTGAAAATAAAAGCAGAGCATATCGAATTAATACATATACCTAAAACATAATGACTTTAATTATTATGTATATTATTTATTAAATTATATTTAGAAAACATTTATAAATGAATATACAATTAAATATCAGTATTCAAGGATTCTATTTTTACAATAACAATTTAGTGCTTAGTGTCTTGATATTTAAACAAAATGAACACACTACCTGAAGATGTAGACCAACACCAAGGGTATTTCCGAAACGGCTAGTATTGACTCTGGAAGGCTTGAGGTGTAAACAAAATACACTGACTGTTAGGCCAAATGTGCTGCTGTAACTGAGTGTAAGAGCAAACAAACAGCATATGAAAGCTGACAGCTACTTTTGGTGGAGGTTCACTAATGTTAAGCTTGGGCTCCAGGATCCGGGTGTTACGGGCTTTGTCTCTCTCTCTCTCCAAAACAAAAAAAAAAAAAAGGGACCCTGGAGCACAAAACCAGTCATAAGGGTCAATTTTTCAAATTTGAGATTTATACATCATCTGAAAGTTGAATAAATAAGCTTTCCATTGATGTATGGTTTGTTATGATAGGACAATATTTGAAAATCTGGACTCTGAGTGAAAAAAATCCAACTATTGAGAAAATCATCTTTAAAGTTGTCCAAATGAAGTTCTTAGCAATGCATATTACTAATCAAAAATTAAGTTCTGATATATTTACGGTAGGAAATGTACAAAATATCTTCATGGAACATGATCTTTACTTAATATCCTAATGATTTTTGGCATAAAAGAAAAATCTATAATTGTGACCCATACAATGTATTGTTGGCTATTGCTACAAATATACCCCAGCGACTTGAGACTGCTTTTGTGCTGCAGGGTCACAAATGGTCTTAAGACCGGTCTTGAGTACTACAGAACTACTTTCTGGTTTGAAGTGGCGTATCTGCTGTCATTATCGCTCTGCACGCTCGGGCCAGACTGCTAATAAGCTGTTGTTGTTTTTGTTTTGGTGCTAATAAAGTTAAATTCTCTGACCGTCTCGGTTGCCATAGAGACTTGACAGTGTATGTGTATGTGTGAGTTTGAGTCCCAGTTATTCCTGTCTCTACGGAGGAAAGTTGGCAGCTTTTCTGCTTAACCTTTCATTGTCACAGTAGAGTCGTCGAGCAGCTGACCTTTACTCACATCATTTTTAGCGCGTCTCAGACAGTCGTTTGTGTCTCAGAAGTAAAAAGGGAACAAGAACATGGCTGTGTGTCAAAAGCAAGCTTTTTATATGCTTTTATATGTTTCAACAGCACAGTTTTAACATTTTACAATCAAACTTTAGGTTACACTTTAATTTAAGGTGTGCTTGTTACAGTGTAATTATACATATAAGTACTGAGTAATATTAATTAGGGTTTGGTTTAGGGTTACTTGCATGTAATTATGCATAATTAATTGTTATTATAATAGCAAGAGCATGTAACATATGTAACAAGGACACCTTCAAATAAAGTGTTACCAAACTTTACACTGGAATATAGATGAACTCAACAACTGAAATATCCCTGCTTGTTATGGTATTACATATTCAATTGTTGGAATTTCATTTATGGAATTTATGACATTTAATATAGAAATGATTATGTTTAACTGAGTTTTATAGAGGCCAAATTAACTGACATAAAGACATTGTTTTTAATGAGGTAGTTTCCTGACTATTTATAATTGTATAACTTTTATATATAAAATTATAAATATATAAACATAATAATTATCATTTAGATTTTTTTTGAGATCTTAGAACAATCTCTAGCTTTCCAAACCTGTAAAACTATGTGATCTTTTTTCTGATATCTGAACTCATGACCACCCACTGTTAAAATGTTTGATTTGATCAATATAAAAAGACCAAATTAATTGTTATTATTATTGTTAATACTTTTTCAAAGGGGCCAATTCATCATTGTTTATTTTTTTATTTTTTTATTTTTTTAATATAAATGGCTCTTTTCACGCTTGCATAGCTTTCTGATGTCTTATGTCGTGTTTTTGTGCTTTTGATGGTTGTGTAGCACCTACATACATTATAACCTCTGTAAGGTAAATCCGATTATTTCAGAATCGATCATGATGCATATATGGATTATGATACTGATAGCACACTTACCCTTCAAATGCAATAGCTACTTTATAGGACAAGCCGACCAGTGCGGTCAGGATCACTCCGATAGGACTGGCATTCCTAAGACACACACACACACACACACACACACACGCGCACACACACACACACACACACGTTCACTACACTCTTTTCTTCATGCATTGGTCAATTTTGAGCTATTTTACGTCTATAACATATCTTCTTTTAGACTAGTAGGGGGTAAAAAACATTCAAAATACACATTTAAGTGCTTATTTTATTACAATTTATCTATTTGCGCCTATAGATTTAAATTTCAATACATATCCAGAAATCAGTAGCGTTTACATACACCGAACTTTACAGCTTTATTCTGAACATTTAACTCTTTCTGGCAGTATCTTGACAGTATTTTCTGATTTAAGGAGTGATGAAAAGAAAAGATACAAACAAGTTTATTACGAATCAGCAGTCTATGTTCTAGTAGTGGTAAAGGTAATGAGCTCTTAAATGTGTATTGAGTTGCTTTGTCATGCACACACACACACTCACACACACACACACGCTCACACACACACACACACTCACACACACACACACGCTCACACACA